TGAACACCGTGTGACAAGCCTCGTTCTGTTTCGGTTTCCTGTGTGCATGTGTGCGTCCGTGTATACGTGTGTCATATTTGTGTGCTGTGTGTATGTGTGTGGCACGATCATTGATCGAAAGTTGTGTTCCCTGATGCCGGAATTATTCAGTCTGTGATGTAAACTTTTTTAATAGTGATGACATATGCCGTGATTTTTCTGTTCTTGCCTCTTTTATTTTGGTTCCCGACCGGGTTGTGTAACTCCACGTTGGAACCGGAACAAATTGTTTCAGTACAGTCGCTTCGAGGCGAATTTTCTACGGTACATTCGGTTTCGATACCGACGCGACCATAGGGGTACATATTTCGTACGTGTACGAACACGTACGGCCAACACGGAAGCTACCTCACGTCACGAGACCACGTGCACTCACTGACATGGACGTTTTTTTTCCAACTGACATATTTGAACAATAGGTTCCTATTAAATTAATAAGATAATATTAAATTATTAAATTAATAAGATAATATTAAATTATTAAATTAATAAGATAATATTAAATTATTAAATTAATAAGAAGAAAATATTTTGCACAAGTGTTTAGAAAATTGTATTAAATTGGAGCTTTTATGATGTATAACGATATTTAATGTACAATAATTCTGAATAAAATATACAATGTTTTGAAAATTTTTTATTTTTGTTATTACGCAATCTTTTACAGTTAAAAGTGGACGCTATGTTTTCTTGTGCATTGGTTTGCGGAGAAAATACCACTATTGTAAAAAATAATCGTGTCGTTATCTACATAGCAATAAGTAATAATCAAAATGCAATGTTGTAAATATAATATAAATGTTTCATTAATTTAAGTAGTAATTATATTAAAAATCTATTCATTTATGATTTTGTTCGGTATATTTATTGTAAACACGTATATATTCTGATTTTCTAATTGAACTTTGTTTATGATGGATTATTAGTAAACATTAATTCGACAATTGAAACAATTATTTCCTACAATTGTGTAAGTTATAACATGATCCGGATTAGTGTAAAGAGCTTAGCCCGGATATATTTGTATTCACTTTTTTTTAATACGGTACACAAGAGATTTTTCCATTCGTACTACTAAGAGGATCCGATCAAACACTTTCAAAATAAATTTTTTATTAGTAACAATTCTGTTACAGAATACATAAATTTTAAAATTGTTTACTCTGAAAATACATTTTGGTTCAAATATCGGTTAATAGAATATAAATGTTAGGAATCAAGGGATTGCAATATTTATTGATAATTAACTCGACGAAATATTTGAAAGAACAATCGATTCAGTCGTTCGACACAAATTATTATATATATTTCAGAATAACTTTATTTAAAAAAACAATGCCATTTCAATCATTCATTCATTAGTTATTGAAACGTTATTTTTCTCCACCAAGATACGAATAAACAAAATTTTATACTAACAATTTTTCTATATAAATATCTGGGCAGGTATAAAACAATACACTTTTGGTGAAATCAATTTCAACTTTAGCGTGAATGATGTTCAATGAATAGCGATGTTGAAATTATTTAAATAGTTCATAGGCGTTAATCGTATACAATGGACCCTCGATTATCGGAACACCGGTAAACAGGGCAGTCAATTATCGGGATGTCCATTTCCGAAGTATTCGATTAATGGAACATTTAATCGCACGAACAGTGTATTTACACAGCACGTTTCCATTCCGCTTACGCTTTTTCCCTAGAAATATTTGGAATCGAGAAATAATGGATTGAGAAATAATGAATATATATATATATATCATTTAATTATAATTTAGTATATATTAAACATTTAAATTATATTCATTCATTACAGATAAGTCTTGATTAAAACGAGAAAAATGTTTAAGTATATCTTTTCATGCGTATTTTATTGATTTATATTATTTATATAATACTATATAAGTATGTTTACAATATATAAATATTATAAATACATTTATAATAAAATAATTATGTTTATTATTTTACAGAGTGTTTTAATAGCATAGATTGCACTCTCTGTTGCTTTCTCATATGTTCGTACCTGTTACGATAAATCTGCAAGATTTTTTCCAAGTTCCCGTAAATATGCATGTTTCGATCTATGTTTGGATGATCGGACTTACAAAAGTTGTATCTGTGTATTACTGTATTGATAACAGAAGTTCCGGGAACCGAGAGTTAACTGAATCTTTAATTGCATTAAATGCGAGTTGGTAATATTTTATAATCTCCATTAAATCGAACATTGCATTATTTGAATTCGCATTAATTAAGACCTACTAGTATATGCATATGTTATTGACTTATACACTCAAGTTCATAATACAAAGCATTAATTCAGTGTTATGACGCGAACATTTAAAAAAATTTGCAAGTAAAATTAGTTACTTCTGCTTGAGAACCGTTTTAATTAGGGGCCGTGTGTGATTACTGGAAAAGTTTGCTGGAATAAGCTAATATTGTAATAAAGTTGAAGGGAACGATGAGTAGGAGGAAACAAAATAAAAAAAATTTAGACATAATTCTAATTTTGGAGCTTCCACACTCAACGCATTCGTCACTTTGAAAGTCTTAACGTATACAAGATAAAATACTCTAAAATAAATTTCCTTTTATTTTAACAAGAACTAAAGGAAATTACCAAACTTCTGTTATATATAAAATATACATATATTAAACAAAAATGATGTTTGCCTTTGATGAAAGCAGGAATAAATAAGTATTTGATAAAAGTAGGACGTACAAAATGAAAATGTAGATAAGTGAATGTATTGGGTCATCACATAAATAATCCGGTTTCGTATATTCCCTTTATTTGAAAAAAATAAAAGAAACACATAAAAAGCCGCATTATTCATGCGATGATCCAATAAATGGTAAAGAGCAAATAAATAAAGAAGCAAACAGATAGAGATAAATGTATAAATAAACTTAAAAGCAGGCACGTGGATCGTCAGCAGAAGTACATACTGCTGATATGAACATTATATTATCCGTATACTACTTACAAAGCAAAATCCGGGCAACAGATACCAAAGGCAGCGATTTTTCTTTGCTAAAACGGAAAGTTTTATTTGGGTCAGAAATACATGTCTGAAACATTAATAACAATACCGCGTCCCTTATAGAATCGAGGAAGAATGCTGCCATAGTAATCTCAGCTTGTCGCAGGAGACGGACTAAAGGGAAAAGCCAGCACAATAGCGTAAGAATCCCAAAGACCTTGCTGAAAGTGCTTCCCAAAGTAGTTAACTTGTATCTGGCAAAGATACGTGGATTGAAGCCCGTGATGAGATCGATTCTGCCTCTCGAAATAGTTCCAGCAAACAGTCGCTGCTTCTATAACAGTTATAACGAACCGAAATTCACAAAGGTATCGATGCCGGTTACTGTTTTTGGCATCAGTTTCCGCGCTAGTTCAGCATCGCTAGCGTTTCGGTTCGAAAGTTGATTCTTTGTTTATTACTCAGTTAGCGGGAATAACGCTTCAGAACACAGAGGATCGATCCATTTCCCACTGCGGATAATGATATTTGCGTAAATCGCGATGGTATTGCCGGATTGGCCACCTCGTACACGAATAATGATTTCGTCTCGTTGGTTCTCGTTTTACCGGGGAACAAACTCGTGGCAACACGGTTCGTTCTGTAATTTCTTCCTTTCAATCTTCTTTTTCCTGTTAGGCGGTAACGCCATTGTGGAAAAGAGCCTTTTAAGTGAGACTAGTTGCATTCTTTTTAAGCATCTTCCCGTGTAGACTCCATTTCACCTTGTGAACTCTTTAAATAAAATCTTCCGCGAGCCCTACCAACAGCCTTTACATCTGCACTTCTTTTTCCATTAATGATGGAAGCCCAAGTGGCGTGTCGATGTTTTCCGGTTTTTAATTCGCTGCGTTCTGAATTGTCGTTCTCGGCTATTTCCCGTTGTTTTTGTTCGAAACATTTCAGACCTGTTTGAATAACGTATACGCGTGGTATCCGACTATTAGAAGCTGACTGACTGTATTCTAAGTTCGATTAAATTAAAAATCAAAGTTTACGCGTATTCGATTTGTTGAATGTAATTTATATTAATTTTATATTAAATATATTATTATTCAATGTATTAATTAATTCTGTATTAAATATACTCTATGCTTTGGCACTGTTCTAAATAATGTTCCAAGATTTGAAAAGATAGTACTTCAATCGTGCTTTGTTCGCTTAGTTTTTCCTCCCTTTTGTTATACTTTCATTTCACCAGGGATATTTTTGAATGTAAGAACAATAGAAGAAATTTCCGCGCGTCATCTTGCAATTTCAACGATATTTCAAACGTCCAGATGAATTTTTCTGAATG